TTTTTTTTTTTTTTTTTTTTTTTTTTTTTTTTTTTTTTTTTTTTTTTTTTTTTTTTTTAATTATTTTTATTTTTTTTATTTTTTTTATTTTCTTAGAGATATAATTTATGGAAAGGAAAATTTTACTAGCAGATGTATTTCCTCTTTGAAGGATACCTGTGAAACTCAACAAGCTTTTCCCCACTTTTATCATAAATGCGTGATGTCTAATTCTCCAAAGTTTTCAGTCATTTTCTAGTGCTGATCACAGTCTTTATATAGGTATGTTAAATTGTTTTTCTCCAGATGCCCTTTCTTGCCTGATGGCAAACTGTCAGTATGGCTGTGATGTCCTGAAAGGGGAGGTGCGCTGCCGCTGTCCTTCTCCTGGGCTGCAGCTTGGGCCTGATGGCAGGACTTGTGTAGGTAGGTGATCCAATGGTGATCTAATTCTAATTTTTTTCTCCAGAATGCTTTTATCCTTACACAGAATACAGTTCAGGAGAGTTTATTAGATGTACTTAGAATGCATAGAACAGGCAGTTTAAAGTTGTTAATAATGAGAAGGGTAATAGGCTGTTGCTCAGGTGCACTTGTGTCAGAGATTGCCAGTACTTTCCTTCAGTCCTGCAAGTTTCATTGTCTGTCTAAAGCCCATACAGACTCCTTGGCATCCAAGCCCTTGGCCCTTGTCACTCCTGCTACTGGATCATTTTAAACTATTGCTAACTCTAAAATACCTGCCTGCATAAAAAAAGGAATGAGGAGATCACCTTTCCCTCCCGGCCAACAAGGTGGTGCCTAGCTCAGTGGGTAGAGGGATAATTTGTAAAAATCTTTTATATTATAGTGGGGCAAGGTGAAGGTCTTCTCATCTTCCCAGTATAAGTGGGATTGAATGTGCTATCTTTCTTCCATATTGTGAAAACTCCAGGTTAAAATAAACACAGGAACTTTGAGAGTATAAGAGTGAAATGTTTTGTTCCCACGTTTGTGAACATGGAAAAGGTGCTTATGGTTAATCAGACTCTACTATGGTCTGAAGAACAGTGTGACATGTGATTTCATCAGTCATTAACTATACATCCTGAGTGGGATATGATACTTCAGTGATTTTATTATTTATATTCTATGAAGTGCTACAATTCCATAACCAGTAACACTGAAAGAATGTAAGAAAATGGGGATGTCTTAATCATCCCTTTGGGTATCTTGGCTGTCCACAGGTTAGGTGGTTCTTCAAGGTCTTGACCCATGCTGACCAAGAATTTGTTGCCAGAGAAAGGGACAGATTCTAGATTTTCTGATGAGAATAGCAGCTCCACACCAAGTCAGAGGCTTTCTAAAGTGCATGATTGGCACATCTGTGTATGGAAAAAAATGGAAAGAGCAGGACAAAAAATCCTACAGTTGTTACATACTGAAGGGATTAAGTTGTGATAAATCTCATTGTGGATATTATGGCAGAGAGATCTTTGGAAGATACTTGTACCATGCCATAGTGAGCGGAGTGATTTTAAGTACAAATTCAAGAAAGGTACACTAAGCAGAGACGTTTGCTAGAAAAAAATGCTTGCAATATTCTCCTAGTGTGGATTTTTCTATTCAGGAAAACTTCATACTTTGAAATAAACAAAGTATACTTTAATGCCGAAGGCTAACACTCAAACCAGTCCTATGAAGCTCTTTGAGTTCTTCAGTGCAGTCTCCAAAAAACCACTTTTTTTTCCCCCCAGAAAAGCAAAGAACTGTGTTACCCACATTTTAGTTGGGTATGCGTCGTTCAGAATGACCTCATAACCTATTTCTAAAATTTCCACAAGAATTTCAGAGCAGCCTTGTACAATACAGAGAAAATAGTTACAGCAAGACATGTCTGTTCTTCCCACATTATAACATAATGTTCTCCCCTTTTTTGGCAAGAAGTGATTATGACAGGCACCCTTTCTGTGTTATTTCTCTATCAAGTTTGAGTTGCAGTAAACCTCAAAGAATTGAAGCTACTTGGGACTAAGGCTATGCTTTTTCCTCATGTTTGTACAAGCTTGTCACTGTTGGGGAAGTTGTTGGCTCCAGGAAGGGTCTGGATAATGCTGCAGTACAAATAGAAGTGTAGGTGGTGGCAAGAAAATTGAAGTGTGCATTGGCTACAGCTCATGAAATCCTTGTTTGAGGAGAGTTTTAAAGACAATTGGGAATGAAATGCCTATTTTTAGCACAGGTGGAAATTCCTCTGGGCATTATTCTATTCTTAGCTTAACACTTGCTGATCGCTCTCTTCTTTAAGATGTTCCTTTCAGACAATCAGTAAAGAGTCACCAATTTGGCTGTAAAGGTAAATTGTATAAGCTAAATGACACGTGAAAAAATAATTCAGCAAAGTATTCAGTGAAAATGTGGATTAAACAACTAATCAATTGATTAATGACTCTTGAATCAATAAATCAATCGTTCTTGCCAGGTTTTTAGACTGGGATTTTCATTTAATGAAATGAGCCATATACATATTTCAGCTTCAAATGTGCTGAAATTATTTGAGGGCTGAAAATAATATTTTTTCCCTATAAAATTAATTCTTTCCTTTTTGTGTGTGTTTAGAAAATTGAAAACGCAGCCTTGTAAACTTAAAAATCATACTATTTTTAAAATAGTCTCAAGTTATTTTGTGCTTGAATTGGAAATACGGTCATACTGGCAGCAAGACAGAGATGCAAATCTGCTTCTTTGGTGGACACCATCACTCATTAGGTGCTGACCATCACAGTCCCTCATTTGCTTTTGGAGCAGCTCCCTGCTGCTGAGGTGAGACTCAAAATCACCCCTCCTTGTCCTGCTTTTCATAGGAAGCAGGTTTGAACCACAGCATGTTGTAGCAGGCAAAGGGAAACAGCTCTATATCTTTCAGTCCAGGTGTGGATTGACTTCAGAGAAGTCACAGTCACTGTACTGTTTGAGAGCTGCAGGAAACTAATCATAAGCACTTTCATATCATCAATGGCTGCTGATCAAAAAGTGGATTTCCCCTCAGCAATGAGCATCCACGCACTTCTCCTTATATGCAGGTGGAAGGTTGTTACATTTTTCCATATTTTTGCATCAGTTTTGAACAGTGTGTTGATTAACAGTTCTGTCCTGTATCTCTAGGACATATGACTGCCTACTACTACACTGCTGCCATAATTTAACATAATTTTCGCCTTATGTGAATTTGCAAAAATTTGAATTAATATGAATATGAGGAAAAAGCAGGACGTGCTACATTAGGTTTTTAAAGATCATAGTCTGTGCCATGAAGTATATTCAGTGGCTAATCTTGTTCTTACTGAACTACTTTTTGAAGCTTTGGTTTAAAGATTAAAAAACAAAGAACACAACTAACTCTCAGTAATCAATAGTTTTAAACTTGCAGCCTTAAAATAATATTTTAATAAAGGGTAGAAAATTGTGACTTGTTGATTAAATGATAATAAGAAAAATGGTAGAGTTTGTGTAATTTAGTAGCATATTCAAAGCCTAAAATGTTAACAATAAATTCAAATCAAGAGGCAGATTTATAGGGAGATTCAGGTGTATGGAGAGGTGCCCAGTATTGGCCTTGTTTCCTTTCTCATTGAGGCCTTTACTGCACCGTTCCAGTGATGCTCTTGATATGGAGAGAGAGCAGCTAGGTGGGCCAGGAGTTTGGGAGCTCAGGGATTGAATCCCTGCTGTCCTCAGTAACTCTTCATGCAGAGTGGGACAGTGCCAGCAGGAGCTACTTGAGACAACCCATTTGGGCAGTAATTCATGGTTTGAGTCACTTCTTTCAGCTGTGGGAACACAGCTTGGAGAGAAGCTGAAGCTCCATCTCCCCTGCTTCAGGTAGCTGCCCTAGCTGCCCAGCAGCTTTGTGGTAACATTTTTTCTGTGCAGTGGAAGAGACTCGGCCTTGTTCAGGTCTCTTTCACAAGAGCAGCAGGGTATCAATCACTTGGCTTTATTTTGCACTCTTGACGTAGTCAGTTGAATTGCTCCTTTTGGGAAAAGAACTGCATGGAGAGGAAAATCTTGCTTTCCCGTAGATCAAGAGTCTGATAGAGCTGCAGAGCAAAGGCTTGAACTGTACCCTGTAGATAACCAGCAAACAGGAGGAGCTGCATGCGCCAGAAGCAGCCATGCATGGCAGGTCTCTGCCTCAGTGGAGAATTATTGCTTAGGCACTCAGCAGCCTCAGCTCGGTGTCCAAGGAGCGAGTGGTAGCGCAAGCAGCTTTTGTGTGGCAGCCTGACCTCGTCTGAGAGTTCCCCAGGCAGGGAGGGCAGCTGTGGGGGAGCATCAGCTCATCCCTGGGCATCTCCCTGTGACCCAGAGCTGAACTAGAGGGCACAGCCAGAAGAAGTGCTCAGGTATTACTGCTGGCTGACTGAGGGCCCTTCTGAAAAATACTTTGGCTGTTCTTTAGCTTTCCATTATTTGAAACCAGTTTCATTTAGACAGTGTACACTGTACTTTAAATGTTACTAAGAATAATACAATTCCTTTGTTTCCACAGATATTGATGAATGTGCTACTGGCAGGGTTCTCTGCCCACGATTTAGGCACTGCGTCAATACTTTCGGAAGCTACATTTGCAGGTGTCACAAAGGCTTTGATCTGATGTACATCGGAGGGAAATACCAATGCCATGGTAAATCAGGCTATTTCTCATGTGCATGTAAAAGAGCTGTGTATTTTAAAAATAAATTATTGGCTCGAAGAGGAATGTTTATTTATTATGGCCAAAATGTTGAGGCAGGTTGTTTTACACTGCATCAGTATTTTAAGAAAGGGGGGATTATAGAAATAGACTGTGAAAGAGAAGGCACATACTTGGCTCACATTCTTGTAACTGGTTCCTGTGTGGAAGCTACTGGGGATAACAGAGCTGATGACCCAAGGAATTATTTTCTAAATAAAAAACATTTTTTCCTCTGTTTTTTCCTCTGGATTCACTGCCACTGGCAGTTGTAGGCTTGGAGCAGTATATGACTTTAGGCTCTGTTTGAGCTGTAATACTGGTGTGCTCCATAGCATGTCCCAAGATCAAGGTAAGAAAATGTGCACACCCTAGCTCCTCCCAGTCCAGACTGCCCAGCTTTCCTTCCCCTGAAGACAGGTGGGGAAGAGGCAGGAGTTGGGAAACAACCTGTTTTTGTCTGGGCATGAGACTGGAATGCAGCTGGTGTATGCCCTTCAACAAAGATACTCTCTCTGCCTTAATTTCACAGGGTCTCAACTGGTTATGATTCTTCCACTGAAAAAAAGCTCATGGGGAGATAATGGAGGCATTGCTTTTTGTTTGCTTAAGTATTTTCTTTTGCAGAGAAATTTGTATTCAGAGTGCTGGAATTTGGGGATTTTTGTTTGCATCATTGACAAGAAATGTGGATATGCCATATAAAACGTTTCCAGCAGTTTCTACTTGATGTAGATCAGATGTATAATATATATACAGATGTATAATATAGCAATAATTTTATGAAGAAAAACCAGTTTAATATCTCTGTGTTTAAGAACATGCATATTCCTACATTCTGTTTTTTTCTTATTCTGTCACCTGTAAGAAGTGGTTGTTAAAATTGCAATCTTAGTGGTCTCAGCTGCAATCTACCTATAACATGTCTGAAGCTGATGCTAAGGTAAAAGCTGAGCAATACCAAAGTTGCCCAATAGTCCTTACTTTCCCTAATGTTTGCATCACCCCATTGATTTGTAAGTATTTTCTTTTCCCACTGGCAAAAGGGGTTTTTTTTAATAATAATCAAAATTGTTTTAATGTTTGGGGGTTTTTGCAGGGATAAGCAGAAAGTCAGGTTTCTTTGAAACAAATAGTTTTTAATGTAAATTTTCTATTGCAGATATAGATGAATGTTTCCTTGGCCACCATCAGTGTGGTAGTTTTTCACATTGCTACAACACTCCAGGATCCTACAAATGCAAATGTAAAGAAGGGTACAGAGACAATGGAACAAACTGCATACGTATGTAGTGCTCCTTTTAAAATAGAGATTCTGAAAGCTATGTGTCCCATTTTGTAAACTTTAAGGCACAGCACTATCAGGCTCAGTTTCTCTTAACCTATTTTTAATACCAAATAAGTGGCCAGGGAATGTAGTTGGAGTTTTCTAGGTCTTAGCATGCCTTGGTAAAAATATCTTTCCCTGAGACATTTTCATAATTAGAAAGAAATTCACCTCTCCTATTCACAGCTTGATTCAAGAGATTGTTTCAGGATGAGAACAACTGAGTAAGCAGGGTAGGTCTGATCAAACAGTTCATATTACTCATGCCCTGTTTTGTACACTCCACAAGTGGCCCGTTTCAGCAGCTCACCCCATCCACTCCCTGCTGCTTCCCAGATGTGAGAAGAGTCAGGAATCCTCTGGAAGGATTTGCTGTTGGAAAATTCCCTTGGCCACCTTTCTCTTGGGAGAAACAGCCAGCCACCCCCTTGGTACAGAATAAGGTGTCGGGGCTCTCCCATATTTGATATCCCACAGGACTATGCAGCTCTATGACATCTGCTGGATCTTTTTGGTCCTACATTCCTTTGTGGGATCTGGTCTTTGGTGACTCACTGATCTCTTTAAAGAGCAGCACCATTTTTTCCCTTTGGCTGTAGCTGTCACGGTAAAAGGTGTTCTATCACATCCTGAGTGCTTGCAAGTATATGTGGGCACATTTCATGTGTGTTAATGGGATATGGTCCTAAGGGATGTTTTATGTTTTAATACATTATAAATGTCAAAACTGCAGTGTATTCAAAGGGATAGTAATAAACAAGTGGCCAGAAGGAATACCTATTTACCTGCTATCATCAAACAATTCACTGTTTAACAAACAGTAGTTCTTCATTTTAACTGTGTGTTATACTTGAAACGCTTGTACACAAAATATGTGACTAGTGTTCTTACTGACCCTTTTAAGATCTCCAGTGAGATATAAAAGGCTTATTAACCAACAGAAAACAACAAAACACATTCTTGTGTTTTGTGTCTTCAGAAACTCTTTTTGTGAAACTAAGTTAAAATTTGTTGTCCTTTCTTTATGAATCATTGGAGGAGATGGTACTGTGGGCACTGTCACTGGGGTGAAAGTGGTGCTCAGTCCAGCACCTCATTTTTGTGAAGGCTGAAAATTGTAATTTACTTAGTTTCCTGGTGTTTAGGAAAGGGAAGGATCTAAATGAAGGCCGGCTTAGTTCAATCTCTGCAATGGTTACTGCTTATTGGCAAGGAGAAATGTTTAGAAGGAAAGGTCTGTGAAAACTTTCTTAAGTCAAAGGTATCTGTCTATCTGTGATCAAAATGGTTGTAACATTGGAGGTGTTACTAAACTTGCTTCCACTCCTGATTGTCCAGTTTAGAGGGCTGCTTAACCCATGGCTTCCTGCCCATGCTTTGTTAACCAAGAGTGCTTTTGTGTAAGTTTTGCCAACTCTGAGACTTGATACTTGAGAGGAGGTGGGATGGAAGTGTCTTGACCTTCAGTCATTCTAAATTATCTCTAAACTGCTGAAGCGGCAAGTATGACCTAAAGGGATGTGATAATTTAGCAGTGCTGATGCTAAAGTATGTTTCTAACTAATGGAAACCTTCAGAGGAAAAAAAAAAATTTCATCCATGTCTCTCTGTGTCATAATGAAATAGATTAAGGTTCTGGAGTGAGAGGCTGAGATGTTCATTTTGGTCCCATTTTGATTCTCTTTGCAGTTATTCCTATTGTTACGATTGAACCACCTGGTCCATAGCACATACTCAAGGCCAATTGCACTGTCCCTGAGGGAGGCAGTGGTATAACGAGCAGGATTGTTGATGCTGAAGGCACAACTCCTCAGACCACTGCATGTACCTGCTTTTGTTACAGAAAGGCCAGTGACCAGGCCCACAGCTCGTCCGACGCCTGTACCAACTCAGCCTGCACCCAGGACAACGACTCGACTGACACCCAAGCCAACCACGAGATATGTGCCAGTGACAACAAGCCTGGCCACGACATCAGTGACAAAGCCTCCTCCTCCAACAACGCCTCAGCCTACAACGGTAAGACCTACACTACCACCACAAACAACTCCTCTGGTAACAACTGAAGAGCCGTCACATGTTCCCACTGAAACTACATCTTCCCAAGGAGTTATAGATGACAACAGGATCCAGCCAGATCCTCAGAAACCCCGAGGAGATGTGTTCAGTAAGTAATTTTCCATTTGCCTTTGTTTATCAAAGCTGTAGATGAAAGCATGCACTATACTGTTCGGGTTTTTTTGGAACACTATATTACTGAGAACAGAGAAATGAAACTGAAAATGGTTATATGGTAAAGCTGTGCAAGTAGTTGATTTTATTACCTAACAAAAATTTGGGACAGAAATTCTGAATCAATAACCAAAATAGTTCTAATTTTTTTCCCCTGAAATTATTGACCATATTATCCTGTAGAAGTACTTAATTATGCTGAAGGTTTTAAGGAAGTGAGAGATGTTTTATTGCAAAGTATTGAAATGCAACAAAGCTCATAAAGTAGTCAATGGGTTTAAATTCAGAGAGTTAAGAGTCTCTCCTAAACAAAATATTGCCATAGCTTTAAGAATAGTAAATAAAATAATAAATAGTAAAGAAATCATGCCTGATTGCCTAAAGACTTCTATGTGACCTATTTTGTATGGGTTCAAATAGTATCAGATGTTCGTGACTAAACAATGGGAAAATGCATAAAAATAGCATAGAGGGTAATTTTATGGACTGTGTGTAATGGGATACATGAAAAGCTGAAGATAGTAAAGATTCTCATAGCATGAACACATGAAACTTTAAGAGCACCTCTGAAATCTACAGGTCCATTGTGCCAGCTTTAGTGCATACCACAGGAGACATTACTGGCACTTACAGAGCTGTGTGTATCTGCCAAGAAATACTCAACACCCGATTTCATCTTTAGTTCTGCGGCTAATTTTAGAGACGGGAGGGTGTGTTGGATCAGCTCTTCAGCTTGTTGTACAATAAAGCTGCTGAAGCAGTGTAGTAGGAGGAAAAGTTTGCTGTCTCAGAGCAGGTGCACAAGCAGTGTGCGAGGTTTTTTCTGATTGCTTTGGCATCTGTGAATTAATTTTTTGGGCTTTGTTGTTCTAGGTCATTACTCAGTGAAATATTTTGTTCCTTGTAGAAGAGTTTTCCCTGTGACATTTTATGTGTTGTAGACAGTTAGAAAATAGAGAGTGAAGCTGACAAAAACTAGAAGACAAATCCTGGTACTGCTTAGTAGAGTGTACCTTTGGCTTCATATTCAGTTAAAAATATGGAGATATATTTAAATGAAATCCTAAAAGGAAATATAATAAAGATCTATGAAGCTTACTGTAATGGGAACCAACATTTTAAAATGTAGTTTTGTGGAAATTGTTGTAGACACCAGCATTGTGCTTTCCAGGTGTCTCTCTCAAGTTGCAAGTGTTCTCTGGAATACTAAAGCAGAGGGATAGTTTTCAGCTATTTTCATGAAGTCATAACAATCCTCTGTGTAAAGCTCATTATTTACAATTGGTCTTCCTGTATTGTCCCTAGAGGGATTTTGAAGCTAATGCTTTCAATACATGTGCTTCAGATACAGGAGTTTGGAAAATAGGAAAGTAAAAGCCTTTTAAGTTTGGCTTGGTCTGACTGCACCTTACATTATAGTACATATAACAAATACAGGACCTTTGCAAAGTGTTCATCAAGTATTATATTAGGTCAGCTGCCACACTCTGAGGTTTGTGATATGCATACACAGCTTCAAAGGCTTCAGTGCACAGCACACCAGGACTGAAACGGGTCAAGCACCAGCTGTTCCTGACCTCAGCAGGTAATACAGGGACACACAGTCCTCAGATTAGGTCAACAGATGTCTGTCTTCAATCCCATATAATTTATTTTGATTCCCTGCTAGACACATAGTTGATACACGTATGTGTGTGATCTAACTGTGTGACTGAAAGCATACTCCACTTGCACTCCAGATGACGCTAGTAGTGTGATCTTTAATGAAGCTGGTGTCTTTTTTTCTCCTTTCTACTCTGCTTTCTGCTCTGTTTTCCTCTCTTTTCTCTTCTGGACTGTTTGAAAATATCATCTAGGTAGTGGTCACTGGAGTCCTCTCCTACTTTCTATCTAAAAATGTTTGTGTTGGGAGTGCACAAAAGCATTTGTTAAGGATTTGACACCTACCGTTGAGGGCAAAACACTTCCATTTCATAACAACGTGCTGCTTTCTCAAAGAAAGCATTGCTTGTAGACTACAGTGTTTCTTCACCTGTTGAATCCTGTTACTGCAGGAGTGTGTGGGGAAGAGCAGAACTTACATTTCCTCATGTGTGACATTTAGAAAAGTAGGTAGAAAAGTTATAGCCCACATACATTACTACAGTGGGATGCACAGAGTGGGGGTCTGCCTCTCCTCAGGACTGCATTTTTAAGAATAACACAGAGATACTTGAACATCTCCAGATGCCATCACACCAGGGGTTCAGCAGCATGAGCACATTCTGCCAGGTGCTGCATTCCTGGGCATTAACTGGGCTGCAGACTTGGCTGCACGAGTGCACTTGGCCCCATGGCAAGTGTGAGGTGAGGTGCATTAGCTGAAGCCCTTTCACATTAGCTTACAGATGGTGTGTGCAGGGTGGGCTGAGTTTCAGGTTCCTCCTGGCCAGTCCTGCCCCTGCTCCAGGCATGTGGGAGCAGTGCCTGGCTCTGTTTGGCTGTAGCTGCTCAGTGTGGGGCACTGTGAGCTCAGGATGGCAGCACTCCCACCAAGTGTAAGCCGGTGCCTCTCCAAAATAATTCCTCGCAGCCAGACACAATGTTAACAGCCATGGTGGTTAGTCAATTAAGGATTTCAAACTGAAATAACTAGTAACATTTAGCTAACCTTTGACTTGCTTCTTAGCTGCTATATGGATGTGCCAAACCCTGCCCACCTCCAAAAACCTTTGTGGATTTTTCACTTGCTCCTATATTTCCTTAGGGAAGAGGAGTTTTGAACTATTTCCTTCAGCTTCTTTAAATCTGTTTCTGTTTTAGTCTCACCTACATCAGACATTTTTGCAATATTCCTGGGTTGTGGATATGAGTTATTTTTGTTTTGCTTATACTGAGCTTCTTTAGGTTCATTTCCCCACATCAACTGCTCTCCAGTTCAGGCAGCAAAGAAGCCAATTCTCAAAAATTAATTTGCACTGTGGTCCCCATATGCCTGCCTGGAAAGAGAAGAAAAAGCCTTGCTATTGCTGCCTTTCTTTGTTTCCTACTAGAGAATATAGGCAGCAATTCTTATTTTCTTGGAAAACAGAGGAGAAAATCGATGTTGGATCCACAACTTCAGTTTTATAAATCTTCAAAAGAATTTGTGTCCTCTTAGGTGGCTGCTTCCTCCTGTGTCTCCAAGGGTTGTTGTATTTCAAAGAGTCACAAAAGGTAGTGTTTTATCACACAGGGGTGGGCAAAACCCAGCATAGAGAGCACTGTACCCAGCAACCACTGGCAGTTCTGTGCTCCCAGCTATCAGCATTTGCTAAAGACCTAAAAGTTGTGTTTTCAGCTACGTTATCTTGTGATGCGCGGACATTTCCCTTCCTTTTTTTCTCATGTGGCTCTGCAGCCTTAGCCAGACTTGGAGGAAGCAGCACTGCTTTGCTCTGCTACTGAAAGGGTGATACTTCTGTCAGGCAATCCATGGCAAAGGGACCATTGGCTGCTGCACAGATGTCCTAGACCAAATATTGCAAATCCTGGTGCTCTAGGATTGGTCCACATCAGGAGAGGAAACATGCTGGGACAAATGTACTTTTTTTTCTCCAAGCATCTCTCAAATTCTAGTTTTTTGTAAGTAATGTTTTCCTGGGGTACCCTTGGTGACTCCTTGCACCCTATTTTCTCCCTTGGTTGTTATTTGACCTTCTGTTCCACATACTGAGTAAACTTTACCTAGGATTTCACTTCAGAGCTCTCTTGAATGTGCTGCTTAACTTGAAATGAGCTGAGGACCAGAGAAATTGCTCTGTTCAACAGTGACAAAGAGCACAAATGGTAAAAATGGTGATAATGTTATTTAAATGCCTTTGCAGTTTTTGAAAGGTATTGGGTTGTTGCTTTTCTTTAGATAAGGGGTAAAGACCCCTTTTCTAAAAAGGCTGTAGTGACTTTGGGGAGCTGCTTTTCTAGAGAACAAAAAATTTATATTTTTTAACATGGAATTCCTACACTTGGCATTTGAACCACTTAGTCAGATGCAGACAGTGGAATCTGGCACCAAGGATAATCTTCTCCTGATATGGATATGGGGGGGGGGGAATGGCAATGAGAGAGGAATGCAGTGACAGCTTAATATTTAACTATTTCAGGACTGATACAAACTACAGTGAAGTACAGAGGAATCTTGTCTAGTTATAAGTCCCTAACAAATAGAACAAACTTCTCAATAAAACTGAATTACTGCTACTATTGGGATCTGGATGATAAGCACTAAAAGCATAAAGTATAATAATAGATATCAGCATAGCAAGAACAAACCCCCTTATCTGTATTAAAAGACAGTTCAGTAGTTTTCCTTCTTAGCCCTTAGTGGTGCCGAAAAGATTGGAGTTAGGAAATGTTTCTCATAACAGTTATTAAAAAATGTAAAGATTGGATTAAAACTGGATTTTTTTCTTTTCTTCCTTTCAGTTACTGTAAAGTCCTTAGTGCTGTAAGTGCAGTTTTGTGATCCTTGAGGCTGTTGAAAAAAGGGAAATAATAAAATCAAAGAATAGACGTTTGTTATTCCTTGATATTATTAGAGTAGCATTATTTTACAACAGCGTTTAATTTGTCTTCACTGTTCTGGCACCTTTTAAACTGTATTTGTCTTTATGTTTAAGCATTTATGATAGGTGCTTTGTTCCTGTTGGTACTCTGGAGTTCAGTCATGAAATCTAGGAGTCTTACAAGTCTCACCCTCAATCAACCTTCCAGCAAGTTTTGTCCCCAGATCTGATATGCAAGCTTATGTACACTCCTTGTTTTAGCTGTGTTTTCCTGAAAATCAGTTGGCACTCTGCGCCTCCTGAATGGATGTTCATACAAAAGCAGACAGGTCACTTTGCAGAAAACCTTATGCAAAGATAAATACCAAGATGCTTGATTTTGGTAAAACTTAATGAGCCTTGTAACTGCCTGAGAAATTCACAATTGGACGTCAGAGTGGTGGCATGCTGACACAGTTGTGTTTCCCCTCATACATAAATAGTGCTGGAGAGAGGTGCACAGTCCATGAAAGAACTTCCTGAAATAATTCTTACTGCAGAATTTGAATCTGTAGAGTTTTAAGAAACATATCTTGGACACTGTGGGTGTCTGAACAAAAGGATGAAATGTACAAATGTACCTCTCTATTACCTCTTCTTTTTAGCCCAGCGTATATCAAAATCTTCCTTGGAGGAAAACAGGACTTATTCTTGTTTTCTCAGTTTGACTGACCTCTGGACTGCCATTAATTTTAGCTGTTTTCTACTAGTTGTGTGTGAGATCTCATCACTTGGGGAATTATTTTGCAAGTGGGATTTAACGGCTTTCAGTCGAAAAAATTCAGTCAAAATATCTTTGTCCTTTTTTGTTGTTTTTAGCGAATGGGAAGCTTTGTCATGATTACTGTGTGGAGTGGAATTGCACTTACAGTGCAAAACCAGTTTTTTTTCTCTAAGCCAGAGAACTGCATTATTAATAACAATTACTAATAACATGAAGTTACACTCCATGTTTTGGTTTTGTAACACCAAACCAGCAATTATTTAGTTTATTGCAAATAAGCTAATATATATACATCTGCTTTCTTATACTCCCCATCTCAGCAATTAGCAAGTGAATCAAAAAAAGCTCTATTGTTTTCCCAAAGGTTAAAAAATCTGAAAAGAAATCGCTCTTATTTAATAATAAAATTTCTTTAGTATTTCCCTCCAGCTTTATGCATCTATGAAGAAGTTAGCTCATGAACTTTGGGAACATGGTAGTGTTGGCTCACTCAGAGTTTATAAAATTCTCCAGGTAAAGGACGCCAAGTTTCTATTTAACAAGCTTTATCAAACCATTGAAGTGAAAAGTACACTGATACACTATATAAAGTACACAGAAAGGGCTTGGAAAGTTTGCAGAAAATAATTGTATCAAATACTTTCTCCCACGATTGCCACTCAATATACTGGTTGTCGTGACAAAAAGAAGTGTCCACATGGGTCATATTTAGAGTCCTGCATCTCTTATGGTAACCCTTGTTTGAAATTGAGTGCACATTTCTGTAATTAGGTCCAAGCACTGAAGTGACTGTATTAACATTCTTCTAGAAATTCATGAAAAAGAGTTTGGAAGGCACTCTGAGGGAATTTTTTAAAAAATATTTTTGCAGGGCTTTGATTGTAGGCAGATATATCAACTTGAATTTGGACAATTCTTGTATGTGTGCACAAATGTAACTCATGTTTGTAGAAAACATGAGTGCATTAGAAATGGTACTTGAAGAAGTAAACTGAAGTTGTTTATAGGATAAGTTCCTAATATTTTTTTCAGTATTTTCCACAAACAAGGACTATGACAGACTGGGAAGAGGGTGCACAGGACATGTACCTTAAAACTGTGACCCCTGGGTATCCTACAAACCTTAGAGCATGGCAGAGAATTTCCTCCATGCTCTTTGCCACCGTGCTCATTTGGAACCTTGTAATTACCTGCCTTTGAGCCTGTCTGTGGTCTGAGCCTTTGGTGCCTGCTGTGCTGTGCTCAGCAGTTCTGAAGCAAATTGCTGGCTTGTTGTCCACGGCATAGAAAGCAAACAGTGTCTTCTTCCCTTGGCACAGTCTGAGGTGAGGAAAAGCAAAGCATTGCTCCCTGGGTGTGCAGCATAGATGGGCTTGTTCTACTGCCTCACCCACATAATTCAGGGTGAACAATGGATTTATATGCCTGAATATAATATCTGTGCATAGATGTACTGCAAGGCAATTACTGGCCTAGGTTGTGTGGACTGTGTACATTTGTAAGGTTTCTTTCATGCTCAATCTCAAGGGTTTTAATCATGTAAGCAAAAGAGCCCAGGTGAAAGAAATGAAGCAGCAAAAATACTATTTACAATCAAGTATCTTTAAAAATTAACAGTCCTCTAATACCCAAGTCAGCCTTAAGTCTGAAGCTGTTTTGAGCATTAATATCCTGGACTGCAAATAGACATAATCTGCAAAGGATTAAAAAGAAAACAAAAAAAGGGAGACTTAATGATTCAAATAATGACTATTATATTTAGGAGTTCATTGGTTTCCTACAGATTCTGAGCTTTTTAACTGTTTGTTTTCATTGTATAAAATTTTTTTCCAAGACCTCTAGCCTAGAATAGTACTTTAAAAATACATTGGAGTTTGCTTATTTTGTACTAATTTCAACTTTTCTTTAAATTTTTGGTCTTTTGGCTTTAGAGGAGCTCTTGCAGCAGTGCTATTTTCATGTTGACCTAGTGCAAAAGAAGTTCCTTGTTAACCTTTGGTTTGATTTTCTGAAAACAACAGTCCTTTCAGTTATCTTAATTCTTCTTGTTCTCATTTGTTCTATAGAGACATTAATAGCTACTTTAGCACTGCAAATGGAAAACATGTCAAGTTTTTAATAGGTAAGACCCTTACAAATATCTTAGGTGTCAGAGGTGCCTATAAAATCTGAGGACCTGTCTGAAACACATTACTACTGTTATGAATTATGCATTAGACCTGCCTCTAAAAGAGGAATTTTCCAAGACAGCTCTCTTCAGTGCAATCTGTTTATCTCTAGCTGACAGATGTCCATCAGTCAAGAAATCTATCTGAAACCAAGACATACTGGCACAGCATCTTCAGAAATACACGGGAGTCTTTGTAGCCACCTGCCTTTGGCTGCTGTCACTCCCACAAAGACCTCATAAATTTCAGGTTGTCCTGAACACTGAATGTCCAATAACCTCTGGGCCTCTCAATCACCAAGAGCTGTTCCTTCTCCTTGCAGCTGCCTGTGCTGGAAAGCAAAAAGTATAATTACAGTTGAATTCCAGCTTCCACTAGAGCTCCTCCTTCTCAACTCCCAGTACAACCCTGATAATTGTTTTGGGAGCTCTAATCCTTTGCAGACAGATGGATGAACCTTCAGTTGTATTTCAAAGGTTAAGTGCACATGGGACCTCTTCTAATGCTGCCTCATGTCGAGGTTCTCCTATAAACATCTGTGGAAGGTTTGAGTGAGGACTTTCATGTGGCTTTATTTTACTGAGAAACCACCATCTCTGAAAATGCACTTGGAGAGGAATAGTGTGCTTCAAGGTTAATGCTTTTCCCCCTGGTTAAAAAGGAGCTTTCATTCAAAGGGCCTTCAGGAGATTTGGAATCACTTTTGACAGTGCTTAGGTAAATGTTGCAACACAAATCATAAATCACGTAGGCATAAAGTTTGAGTCTTCGTGTCGAATATAATTAAATATACTGGAATCTCCAAGAAAAGCACAATTCCCAGAGCTGCTCTACTGGTTGTTGTTAGAGATAAAGCTAGTTAGTGACCTATTTCCTTATCTCATTCATTTTTTTCTCACAGTTCCACGCCAGCCTGGAGTCAGCAATAATCTGTTTGAAATACTTGAAATTGAAAGAGGGATTACAGCTGATGAATTTGAAGCAAACGATGACCCAGGTAAAGACCATGTCTCCTATTCAGCATCTAGGGTTTATGATTTTTTGAGATTTCTTGGGGGTTTATGCACTCTTCAGGAATCTTATGCCACTCTTTTAAACTATGCTTTATAAAACCATGTAAAATCAATCCTTTGCCTATGTGAATCTTTCACTTTTATTTCCCAAAAAATTCAGCACAGAATAGTATGAACTGCTAATACAAGGGTCCTTTTGATTGTTTAGTGTTTTTGCAGATTCTTTTCCTAGGACTCCTTCTACATTTAGTTTTCATACTTACTTGCTACTGTCAGCCACATGGGGAATTGAAAACCAAAACAACCTGAATCACTTCTGGGTTTTTTTGTGACCTCCTGCTCTGTTCTGCCAGGTGTCCTGGTGCACAGCTGTGATTTTGACAGTGGACTGTGTGGGTGGATCAAGGACAAAGATGATGACTTGCACTGGGAGCCAGTGAGAGATGCATCAGGTAAGTGATCTCTGTACAATCACATCCTGCAGTTGAAGAACCACCCAGGCTTGAGGTTGATGACAGTTCCTCCTTGAGGACAAATTACACAGCTTCTGTTCTCTTTAGTTCTGGGATATGTTTCACACCGATGCCTCTCTTCTGTATAAAAAGTAAAATTGAGGCTTCCCAATGTGAAAGAGCAATTGAAAATTTACTCTTTTATCATAGCTGACATTTTTAAAATAGGAATAGTGAATGTAGTCACCAAGTTTGTCTTAAAGTAATCTGAAAAAAATGTGGACTAGGGAACAACTTTCATGGTGAAACAAAGCTTATTTTTCAAACTACCATGTAAACATAGTTATTTCCTATCACTAGCAAAACTATAGGAAGTACTGGAAATAGTCTTTGTTTTGCTGCTAGATATAATGTTCTAGTTCAATCTCTGATTGCTGTAGCTTGGAGTAGAATTTGATAAAATCAGTCTGTATGGAGGAAAAATGTAAAGTAACATGTTAAATGCTGAAACACGGAGGCTTCTGAAAATGGGATTATTTGGGATAATAAAAACTGACATTACACCAGGCATTAGAGAGGAGTGTGTAGTAGCTCTTTGCAGGACAGGAGACTGGCACCAGCACTGGTGGTCTCCCACAGGAACAGCCCTTTCCTGTCTCCCACCTCTGTTGTCCCAGGAAGTGGGATGTATTTTGTCCCCTATTGATTTTGGCGCGGCACTGAGAGTTGCTGCCCTTGCCTGCCTACCCTTCCCCCAGTAGTGCCTACCCGACAGTGCCGGGGATTAGACACACATCCCTGGCTCCCTGTAATGATGGGATTACTTCATCCCCAAGGAGCAGCCTTTGAAGTGCACAAAGCTCACATTATGTAGGGATGGCAGCCTGCGGAAGGAAGCACGCTCTCAGGCGGGACAATGGTGCAGGTTAAGATGAGGGAGGGTGAGAGCACCGAGAGCCATTTTCCTCATGCACCACCCTGCCAGAGCTCTCTGGCCTTAAGCTGCCACTGGTGGGGCAGTCATTTGCCACCGCAGCAGGTGATCTGGCACCTTTTCCAGGCTGCTTGGCTGGCTCTGTGGCAGTGCTGTCTTCACTGCCTGGGCAGGAGTCCCCCAAACAGGCTACTCTAGTACTTCAGGAGCTCCCGTGGAGCTTGAAAAGCCTTGGGAATGACTGGGAGAGCAGAGCTCCTTACTCCTGCAGATGAAAAAGCAGGCGGCTGTCTCTTGCCTGCAGAGTGGCACTTAAAAAAAATACACATAATTAATACCTTTTTTTCAAAAATCCATTTTTTTAAAGTCAGTCACTTAAAGCATATTCATTATCCATACTCAAAAGTTGTTGTTATTACATACTAAATTCCAGAGCTATGATTTTTAAGAACAAATAACTGTGATTTTTAACTGGTTCTTTTTTGTCAGACTCTCTCTGCATTGCTTCCTAGTAGTCAGGGACAAGCTCAGCTTTTTATTTCCTGTGTATGTTCTGCTGCTGTTGACATAACCTGTTAAAACTAGTCCCTTAAAGTCACCCACCCACCCACCCCTTCATTTTGGAACATCTTGTTGGAAGGATTTATTTTCACAGCTTGTTCCTGACTGCTTGCTTTCACCTTGCAAAGTTTGCTATGTATTGGTTTGTCAGAATCTGCATTTCGAAAGGAGCTGTGCTGAAGCATTATAAGCTTATCTTGCATGCAAAAAATGCTGATTTGAGGGGACCTTTTCCTGTAGGGGCTTGCCTACAGATATGTTTGCTTTGTGCTTACCTAAATCTGTTTCCTATTGATTGGATTCAGCCACAGTAACTATTTGAAAACTATGAACTTAATAAGTCAGTACTTTCATAGTGGTATAATTGTATCTTCAGCAAACAGGTACAGTTACTTAAACTCTATTATGCTTATTTTAGCAATTAGTGACTTTGCTGCAAAAGCAATGTATTAAAAAAGAAAAAAAACCCTAACTCCCTGAGAAAATACCTACCAAGAGGCTTTAACAGATTCTTGGACAGATGGGTCCCACTTCATGGCTAAATGGTGATCTAGGGGCCCAGACAGCAGCATAATACTTTGCTTTGTTAAATCTCATTCAGACCAAAGAATTTAAAAACTTATGTAGAAGTAGTGAATTGGAGACAAGGTTGGCTTTCCTTTTAAGTCTGTGACAAGCCCTGGTACATTGTAATTAAATCTTACAGCTTTTGAGGGAAATCACTGTGACTTTCAAAGAGAAGCTTTTAAAAAATAATGCTCTGTTTGAGTAGTAGCACGGAGACAAAAAATATTTTTCTATCCTGTTTAACTGTGTATGTTTGTAATATTACAAACAAATATTTCTAAATCTTTGGTTTTAACTATGGAGCCTAAAAATGCCACTTTCTTAATGAACTTAAGGTAGAGGTGGCATTTTTTAATTAAAAAAAAACCCTGTAAAATCTGATCCCATGATGAAAAAATATTCTTAGATTGAGTGTAAGATAAGGTTTTTGGGGTTTTTGTTGAACCTTTTTCTCTTTGGCAATTTCAGATATCAAAGGTTTTACCCCCTTGCAAAAGTTTTAATGAAAAGTACAAACAACTTGTATAAATCTGGGTTTTCTCCAAGATGTGTAATCTCATTTAGTGTAGTTCTGAGTGTTGATGTGGAAGGTGCCTTTGTTCTTTTTAGGTTTAATGGATGTTGCCATACCTGAGATCCTTAGCTTCTCATGTTCAGAGTGTTTTCTAGAAGGCACCTTATCTCTTATATCATGTATGAAGTAAATAATTGGATTTTGATTGAGTATGTATGTTCACTGACAACTTCCTACTGTTGGAATTTGGGGTTAACAGCCATGTGGAAATCATTACTGCTTCTTGCTTTCTCTATCTAATCCAGATTAAGAGTTTAAATTACAGTTAAATAAAAGAGGCTATCAGGGTTGCAAATGGATATGCTTTGAGACTTACCCTGTTAACACAGTTTCCCAAACAAAAGGAAAGGGACAGAGCCATAGCTCAATTACATGATAACATTTATTCTGGTTTCTGTTATCTGTCCACTAGCAAAACATTGCAGCTTTAAAGGTACATAAATTTGCACAGTTGCTTCAACATCACTGTGGGTTTAAAATCATGCAGTGACCAAGGGGTTGTCAGAAATGACAGAATTCATGAGGTTTTAGCTTTTGAGAGAGGTATTGTGTACTTTGCCAAAAAGAAATTAGATGGGCAACACCCAGCCTGGTATTAATGTACAGAGAAGAGCAGCGCTATAAATCTTAACCCTGTAGGAGGCAGATGCACTAGTTCTGGTTCTATATGCCTTATTTTATCCTTTCTGGACCTTGTGGACCCCTTTATTTATTTTTAATAACTCATTTCGTCCTGCAATCTAGTAGTGTTAAAAAAACCAAACAAATCCCCCCAACTAATTGCTTTTTCCACTGCAGGAGGACAGTACCTTACCATCTCTGATGCCAAGGGCAAAGAAGGAAGAGTAGCACATCTTATCCTGCCATTGGGGCACATGGCTCAGGCTGGAGACTTGTGCCTGTCCTTTAGGCATAAGGTGTCTGGGCTGCATTCTGGTGCCCTCCAAGCCTTTGTAAGGAAGAATGGTGCTCACGGTCCAGCTGTTTGGGGAAGAAATGGTGGCCATGGCTGGAGACAGACACACATTACTTTACGAGGACTAGGCATCAAGAGTGTAAGTACTGATGATTGTGTTTCTTTTTGGGTTTTTGCATGAAAAGCTGAAGACTTTGGTCTTCAATAGTGCAGCACTGCAGTGTTCATCTTCTGGGTTCAGTTTCTCTCCGTTTTAGTACTTTGATCTCTGCCGATGGAACAACAGCTCTCACAGATGAGTTATTGTGCATTTTTAAAAAATAGTTTTATACACAAAAGAAGAGAAATCCCAGCTACAGAAATAGACTCATAGTACAGGCTATTGTGTCATTTCCTGAGCTACCTGGTACAGCCCATTTAAAGGGAATCACAACCTAGGAAAGAGCAGCCTCATGGACAGAGGCATACTTTACAGAGGTTTCAAAAAAAAGCCTGTATCAAGCTTCCTTATGACTAATGCTTTGAAAAATACAGTGCCATGGAATAGAATGAATCATCCCCTGTGGATTAGTAACTGGCTAAACCAGGGCAAAGATATTGAAAATAAGTAATTTTTGGTAATGAAGGGAGATTACATGTGCGATCATATGTGGTTTTATGCCCTTTAGCATACCTGCAGCTGATCAGGCCAAGGAGGTGAAATATGACCTAACAATGCCCATAACACAAAATGGTTTAGTGCAATCAAAAGAAGCTGCCTGAAGTGCCATGGGGAATCTTTTAATACCTGGAAATTTTAGAAACTGTTAACTCTTATCAGAAGCTCAGTGTTATTCTTCAACCTCTGAAGGTAGTTTTTATTTCAGATCTGAAGAAGTGGCTTGGGTATTTCAGGTCCTGTTTTACTCTGACTTAATTTGGGATGTTCTGAAAAGCTCACACATCATAATGACAGAATCACAGAATAATGTTCATGATGAGAGCAGGTTACAAGATATACACAGTGTCTAGCTCTAAAATTAATATTAAGGTTGTAATTACAACAGATAATTTCCTAAAAAATTTACCTCAGCAACAGTAGCAAAGACACCTGACTTTGTTAGCTGTAAATGAATCTCAGACTGAGAATGAGGACATTTGTAACAGGTGAACAACACACTGCTACATTCTTACCCTTTTTTTCCTAAATTTATCACTTCTGGCAGTCCCCCTTTGCACTGTCCCCTGCCTCTCCTGACCCCCTGGCAGTAGCTGTCAGCATGGACTGCTATCCATTTTACCACAGCCAGGAGCTGCCTCATGCCACACTTGAGTTTGGCATCTTTTCCAGCCAGCATGGGCAGCCAGGGGTGCTGACCTAAACCACTGGGACACTTATCCAAAGATCAGGGAGTGAGAGAAAACTCTTAAGTAAGCAGGGAAGGCCTCTGCCGAAGAGAAATCAGGAAGAAATGTGGAAGTTTTATTTTCTAGCTAATTAAAATCCAAAAGCAATGAAATGATAGTGATTTTGGAGGGCCCTACTGGAAACCTGAGGAGAATTTGAATGAAGACCAGAATCCATCACACTTTTTAAGGAATTATCTCTATGTAACTTCTTTTTTTATCCCCCACTCAAATGGTTCTATTTCTCTTTCTAGGTTATTTTCAGAGGTGAGAAAGGGAAAGGAAGAACTGGGGATATTGGTCTAGATGATGTAGTCTTGAGGAGAGGACGCTGCTCTGAAGAGCATTAGCCAAGACAATGGACCAGCAGTCATTTCCTCTTGCCCTTCTTATGCAATTCCTACCAAACCTTGAAACAGAACTGCGTGGAAAAGAATAAAAAGTGGGAGAGCAACTTCTTAGTGGTCTGCTAAGGGCAATCTCATGGAAATTTCACTTAAACACATGGAGAGCGCCTCTCAGGATTGAGGAAATCCAATCTCAGGCTGGTTCTTTCTTTTAATTCTTACCCGTAAACCATATTTTCTATGTAATAACTTTGTTGTCTGGTGAGTATTCACAAAAAGAGCACTTGTGAAAAAGGAAGAATTAATTACAAATGGTAGCAAAAGGAAGCTCCATCTCAAAGTTTCAGTGTTAACTGACAGCCATTATCATCCCATAGTGCTATCTTTCATTGATTAATTTGTGTGTCACATTGGATTAGTGAAAGCTTGGACCTGAACTTTGGCTTACTGCCACTGACCTTTGAAGAAAGGTTTTTCATATATGAAATAGCATTTATTTTGCTGTTGCATTTACATTAACCAAAACCAATTATATAGATTAGGCATTGCATCCTGTAATATTGCTATGCTGTGTTTTGTGTATATGCGTATGGTTAACATATTTATGTTTTTAGTACTTACAGGCTGTAGTTGCAGGGTAATTGGCAGCTGTACTTTTTTTGTACTAGACAGGAGTTCAGCATCTTCTTCAATACTGCTGGTCATGCAAAATTTTCAAAGTCAGTTAATGGTGCTCATTGAAAAAGCTGGTGGAGTTTTTCATGTTGTAAAGTCCTGAGGGCAAAAGACCAAAGGCTCACCTGATGGAAACTGGCATCTGAAAATGCTGTACAAGTTTGTGTCAAGCTCACAAGGTCTAGGAAGTAGCTCCTGGTTCAGCTGAAGACTGAGCAGCCAGGAGAAGATGAACTTGTATTTTGTAAGGTTGAGGCCGTTGACAAATGCCAGGAATGATCCTTTCCCACAGGTGGCACAAGCCTACACACGAGGAAAAAGGGCAGCTGCATTAACAATGTGCAAACAATTCCAACAGTGAAATGCCTCGAGTGGTCTTTGCCAAATGTCCATACTCCATCCAACCTTCTGTATATAATAAGCATTTTATTCTTTAGAACTAGAAAAACTTCTCTAGTGGGAACTAAGTATTTATCAAAACTTTGGACTAATTTTATAGTTATGTATCATGTGTGCTGTGCAGTTTCCCAGGGAATTCTTCTGTTTGGTTTGGAATTTTTAAAGTGGGCATCATCATCACTGCTAGCAATTATAAAATTCACAAAGCAATTGTAACATTTAAGAAAATGACAAGAGATTGGTAAAATGCTGTTAGTGGTGCAGCCTTAAAGCTTAAACAAAAATAGATCTCAGTTCTTTTGAATGTAAATACAGTGTGAAATAAATGTCAGCTGCATAGCACTTTCAGTCTTGTACAAAGTTCACAGACACAAATTTGGAAGAACATTAGAGGTAATATTCTAAATCCATGTTCCTGACAAAATACCAGTCTGAAAATATTTTTCCCATTCATCCTCTAGGACAAAACATGGTGTGTAGAGCAGAAATGTATGTGACCAAACACAGAGTCTCCTGCAAAACTGTATCAGCAAACATTTTGAAAAGGAAGAAAGCAATGTGTTTGTAAACATTAAACTATTTTGCTTCAAATATGAATATGATATTTTTCTCTTATGTTACTTTGTGATATGTCAGAAATATCTGTGAATAGTGGAAATACCTTGTCCTTATTTTAAAGTAATCAGTAAAAGAGACTGTTACTTGCTACTAATTGGGAATCTTCTTTTCATTTCTAGATTGAAAGTCTCAGTTTTCATTGCAGTGAAATGAAACAAAAGATGACAATTCCAGAGTGAAATAGCTTTTATTACCAGTTTTAAAAATCAAAATAGATTTCACTATCATATGAAGAGAGCACTATATTTATTATTCAGAAGGAAGAATGACAGTTTTCAACTTAACTTTAAGAGAAGTTTCACAGGTAATTTAAGAGTTTCTAGAATATTAGATGTCCATTTTATAAGGAACAGCTACCGTAGTTCCTCACTGTGATTCAACCAGCACAAACTGCTGTTAGATGCCAAGGAATATAAGATTAACACATTTTAGTCTTGTTCATCACATTACAACAGCTTTCTGGGATCAGGAGTCCCTGGTTAAAATGGAACCCCTGTTGATGCAAGACTGTCAAGAGTTTTTTGCTATTTTTACAAATGGTCCCTAGAACCCAGAATCTGAACCAATTCAGAAGATAGACAGCAGTAACTGCTCAGGTGACAGGGAGAGGATTCAGGTCTCTGTTTTATGAAACTATAGCTGTCTTTAAAATTTTAATTATGAATGTTACATATACAGAGTTAATAATTAGCAAGTGAGGTCCAGTTAAATACAATGCAAATTTTTGTTTATATAGATCCATCTCTCAATCTCTAAATTATAGAAGTTTTCCTGGTGTTTAAAATGCTTTCTTACCTGCTGTTTTATTCTGACATCCTGTAGTTGCACAGTGTTTTATGACTTAAGATTTTCTACATCAATTAGAAACAAAACAAGAAGTTGAATAATTGGTGTAAACCTGCAACGTTAGAAAGAAATGCAAAACATTTCAGTGGTAAGTTTCAGCAATGATTTGAAAGATCTCTGCATTAACTTTCAAAGCTTGAGGAGATTCCTTCCTCAGACCCCACCTACTGTATCAAGCAGACCTAGCAATACATGAGGAAATGCATTTGGAATGTTTGTAATGCTTCATTTATTTAAAATACCAACAACCAAAGACCATCAGGGAGCGTAAAGGCGAGTTTTCAACAGTACAGACTGAACCACCTCTAGATTTCAGAAATCAGCCCCACATAAATTTTCAGGATTGTAAGTCCAAAATTAATCAAGTCACATTTCTCCCTCTGCACTTGTGTGACCTCTTCCAAACCTGTATTCAGTGTTTGAGCAAGGAAGCCAAGATCCATCAGGCACACAGGATAAGGCTGTGACACAGCCAAATCCTGCTTTCCTCTGACCACGAGTTACTACAGCACTTTCCCAGTAATTTTTTTAACATAATACTTTGAATTTTTACCTTCTTTTCAGGCCACACTTTTCTCCCAGGATTTAACTTGCCATGCATTTCAGCAGCCCATGTTCTCATTTCAGGCTTATCCTGAATACTCTTGATATTATATTAATTTCAAGTTTGACAAACACCTGGAAAGACAAAGTATAGTGTGTACTCAGAGAACAATTTTACTGCATCTCTATGCAACATCAGAGCTAAAATTTGAGATTGACACTGTCAAGGAATTTCAGGAAGACACCATCACTGTTTTGATACCACTGTGCCCCAGCAGAAACAGGCGACCACATCACCTTTTTGCTTGCCTTTTGTGCTGCCCCTATTTTAGGTAAAAAAATTATAGAAGTGGACTCAGCAGAATTTTTCCTCTATCAGATTGGCTCAAGACAGAATTCCCTTATGTGTGAAGCAGGGTTACTGTGGCATGCATACACTCCAGTTCAGTACCAGTGTCCTTGAACAGCAAAGAACAGGAAAAAAAGCCTTCCCATGAAAATTGACTTTTATTCTCGCACCCCTGGGTTCAAGTCTAGTACAAAAGCAAGAGCTCCTCGTTTAGGAGCTCATGCAATGCATGCCACCTCAGCTGGTGCTGACACCACCAGAATCCTCAGCAAAGACCATACTGACATCCAGCACAATATGAATAGAGAACTAAGTGCAAATAAGTAGTGAGCAGTGCCAGTTATGTTTTAAACTAGGAAAATGACTGCAAGAAATTTGATTAAGGGGAATTCAGAGGGGTGTCCAAGAGAGACACTTTGACTTCCACCCCTCTGAAGTTCTGAGTTGTCTCAAAGAATGTTGTCATCTTACTTCAACTTCCTAGATCAGTTGGAAGACCAAAGTTGTTGGTACTCTTCAAAGTTTCCGTGTTCCAATGCTGAGTGTTCTCTCTCAAGTCTGCATGGTTCTTGCTAATAGTCTAGAGGATTCCTTTAGCCATTTGTAAATACACAGGGTTTGAAGCCACTGGAACTGCTCACTAGTAATAAAGCCTACAACTCTATGGTGCACATCAGTTTGCATAGGAACCAGGCACCCCTACTGCATAGTTGGAGGGGTCATTAAACTGTGAGCAATTCAGTCACGTTCCTGTCATATGCCACTGGTTTTAAAGATATTATAGTTGGGTGAACTCTACTACTGAGGGTTACCTCTTGGACCTGAGTGATGTTTAATTACTCACAAGGTACATCAAGTAGTTTTGTAGGGGGTTAGGAGACCGCGGCATTCTGGCAGCTTATCTGTGTATTAGCAAACAGCCCTGGCACACTCACTATGAAATTCACTGTGAACTCCGCTGCTAGGTCTTTTCAGAGTAATTTACTTGCCAAATAAAGATTGTGAAAGGCTTGAAAAGATATTACATTAATACAAAAAACAGGCAGAGAAAGTATATAGTACATCAAGGAATGCCTTCATCACCATATGGCCTTTGATGGGATTACACTGCCAGTTAGAGAGCTAGACAGGAATTGTAAGGATTCAACTACAGCTCAGTCACAGAGCTCCAGCCCACAGCCTCTCACACAAGTTCTTCATAACACTGTTCTTCATCTTTCATTCAGCCATCCCCTCCCAGGGTACCACTTTGTCCAAAGAGTGTGCTAGGCATTGCAGCAAACACAAACGATGACTACCCCTCTCTGGGCTGGCTGTGACCATGTGGTCCCTAATGCATGGAACTCTCTTTACTTTTCTCTCTAGTTTTGCCAGGGGTATCAGATAGGCTACTAAATAGACACTGGGCAAATCTGAATTTTCTTGTGCTCTAATGAAGGTAGGGAGTTTTTCCTTCCTTGATACGGAGTTCTGCTTGCTCCCTAAAGAGAGACCCTCACCAGAGGAGACCCATTCTGTACCACCCTCTGCACTTGCTGCTCCAGCTGAAATCCTGTGTACTGCAACTGGGTCTGAGTCTGCAGGTAATAAACCACACAACCCCCCCCAAATAAGGCAACATCCTGAGCATGCAGCAGACAGATTGGAATTGGGACACTGCAAGAAGCAGTTACATATGAAACTACAGGAGGCACAAATGGGAAATGCAAGAAATCCTGCAATTTGCACTCAACAGTACACAACTGCAAAACAACTGGACTCCATTTCTGGCCCTGAAGCGACGAAGATTTGTGAGTTTTCCAACAGCCAGTCTGACTGGAACAGCCTGGGAACACAGCATCTCCAAACCACATGAGGCTGCCAATAGCAACTACAAGGTAATCCTGCAGCATGTAAAATATTATATGTGAGGGGGATTTTCAAACCTTGCTATTAAAAATATCCTTGGAATGGTGTCTGTGTCCTGACACTCAATACAGACAATCTCTGCTTCATGTTTCAGTGGCAGCAACTCCCTTTGGGGAAGAAAAACATCTTGCACTCATAAGGGAAGTGCACAGAGCTGCAGCAGAACAGGCACAGGCTGCTCCAGTGGTTCAAGCCTTGCCCACCAGTTGAGGGGGTCAGGCTGCTTGTGAGCATCCTGAACACATTCAAGGGATGAGTAGTAATTTTCTCTGTGCACCTCTCCACACCCTTTTTCATACTGCTGTAAGAAAGGTGAATAAACTCACCCACGTGACAGATAAGAGAAATGAGCAAATGCTTATATCATGCACCCAGAGTAGGTAAGTGCCATTCACTTTGAACTCGCATATTCTCCTGCCACACACTGTCATCTTGACACTCAGCCACAGAGACTCAGGTCAACCAGCCTAACCTGCAACAGCAGCTAGTTCAAAGCAGTAACAAATTAAAAGCTTCCATTTTCCAGCATTATTGCAGGGGAGAAACTTTATTAACAGTTCTTTGACTTCCAAAAGCCTGGACCTTTTTCACCTGTCTCT